AGGTATGCTCAGGGCTCTAGAAGAGTGCATCTCCCAATAGTGACACTACAAAACTCTTGAGGCTAGGCTAAAAGATGCAATATAGCTTCCTCTTTGCTCTCTGTTGAGACACTCCCCCTTGAAACCCAGCCTCCAAATGTAAGAAAACCCAGTGTTATAGCCCAATAGTGCGTGCTGAGAGCCCAGCTAACAGTCTGCATCAAGCAGCAGTCAAGCGAATGAGGCAGCTTTGAGATGACTCCAGACTCAGCACTAACCGCAATGCACAGACACCCTCAGTGCAACCACTTAGATGAACCTGGTTAACAGCCAGAACTATGAGAATGAATTTTTGTTGTTTTATGCTGTAAGTGTGGGGTGGTTTATTATGCAGCAACAGATAACAGTATATATTCTCATCATATTCCAACTCTCTGACATCATCATCACCATCATCATGACAAATTCTCCTGTCCAGTTTTCTTCATGGTAGACACTTTTATATACTTATTCCTGACTTCATGTCTTTATGTTCTTCTCTTCCCTCCATATAATTTCACCTCAGTACCTATATTTCTTTCTTTAACCTTTCTTTTACAATTCACATTGATCTTTACTTCCTAACTTCACAAACTGTAGTAAGTATTTCTGTGGTATCCCCTGTGTAACTGGTACCTACATGTATTTTATGCCTACTGTGCTACTGCTGAAAATGTAGCTGTGAACAAGACAGATACGGTGCCAGTTCGCATGGACATTACAGTCTAAGAGAAGAAAGAGACGTTAAAATAACTGATTTCAGTTATGAGAAGGAAAATAACATACTTCCAAAACAAATTACAGTATCTTACCCAGTTGTGAAGGACATTTGTTTAGGACTTTGTCTGTCTGAGGAAGTGACAATTAAGCTTAAACTTCAAAAGTGAATAGAAATTAATTTGATTAATGCAGAGGCAAGAGGAAGGGCAAGGACTAGAGGCCTCACAAACAAACAAACAGAAAACCCAGCTTATGCTGGGGAGATTTTGGTAAATTAAAATGATGTGAAAGGCTCACGTGAATACAATGTAATCAAAAGAGATGAATAGCTGTAAAATATGAGAGGCAGGCATGAAAATCTACTAAAGCCCAATCGAAGATTTGAGAACTTTAGGATGCTATTAGAAGTTATAACACGAGAGTGTGACAAAATCAGATTTTCAATTTTAAAAGACTTTTGCTGCATAATATTGAGTGAACCTGGAAAAAAAGATAGAACACTTATGGAGAAAGAGTCCAACTAAGTTACTGAAATTTTGGTGAAAGACTGGTGGATGGAATGGACAGCAGAGATTAGGACAAGTGGTCAAATCTGAGATGAGTGAAGAATTGAAAGGGCTTAGTGAGGAATCTGAGGTAGGGAAGGTGACAGAAAGCCAAACTGACTCTTAGGTTCCTTTCTCATAAGAACAACTAGATGGATGGTGGTAGCACACATGGACTATATATACACTTGCTTCTATGACAATGCCTTAATACACTGTGAACTCTCTTAACTCTGTTTTTTCTAACTAACTGCCTGGTATATAAAGTACTATTACACAGAAGCCTCTAGTAAGAAAGAAGTGCATTTTTATCATAATTGTCAAAAACATAATTACTAGGAGTAAGAAATGAGACCATTAGGAAAATTCTGGAATATAAGATAAAAAGAATTAAAGTATAAAACTATCAATATAGAGCAGGTGTCAAACTCATTTTCACGGGGTGGGGGGGGGGGGCGGCCAGCCACATCAGCCTCCCAGTTGCCTTCAAAGGGCCGAATGTAATTTCAACTCCTTACCAGTTAAGGAGTAGTTACATTTATACAGCCCTAAAATTATTTCAGCCCTTTGAAAGCAATCACAAGGCTGATGTGGCCTCCAGTGAAAGTGAGTTTGACACCCCTGATATAGAGTATCTAAAATTTCAAAACACTGAAAAGCAAAAGAGACAACTAAGTACAGAGAAGGAGACAGTAGTTGACAGAAATTGACATTTTAAAGAGGTAATGTAGGAAGAGAACACTGAGGATCTAAGAGTGAGCATAGATGGATCTTATACAATAGACCTTATACTAAATCAGGGCTAGGATCAATCAGGTTCCTTTCAAAGAGAACTGTGCAGATCAATAACAAAGGCCACTGCTTTTTCCCATCTGAAGTGCCTTTATCAAAATCTTTTTCATTTGCCCTGATTGCTGTGGCTTGGTTGGGTGTCATCCTGCAAAGCAAAAGGTTGACGACTGGATTCCTGGTCAGGACACATGCCTGTGTTGCAGGTCCAGTCCCCAATTGGGGGGTGTGACACCCCAAGAAGCAACCGATGGATGTTTCTCTCTTGTATCCACGTTTCTTTCTTGCATCAATGTATCATGCCCTCTTTTTATCCCCCTTCACCTCTCTCTAAAATAAATAAAATCTTTTAAAAAATCTTTTCATTTCACAAAATTATAAATATTTACAGGTGAGTTCTACAATCCTTGCAAATCACTAACATACTGGAATATTAGATCACTGTTGGTTTACTAATACTGATGGGAGGTAGGTAGTAAGAGAACAAGGAGAAATACTACATCTTGAAGGAGGATAGTCAGACTCAAAAAGTTTTGGACAGTTTGGCTCTTATGTATAGATTTTAATAAAAGTAAAATCCCACATTACCAAAATTTCAAATAATAATGATGTCTGAGTAAGTCAGCCCAGCGTCTTGGGCAAAGTAAAGTTTTATTTCTAAAAATGAGATTGGCAGGAAGTGAGATTATAAAATGACAGCAGTCAGGGCTTTTCCAGTTCACTGTATGGCCCATTATTTAAGGTACAAATGTCACTATGCTTTCCTTTGTGTCTCAATCATTACAGACAGCATGGAAAATACTTCATTGTATTTCAATGACTGCAATAATTCAATTTCACACTTTTTGGAATTGTCTTGGACCCAATTATGGCACAATAGCAAGGATTTTATGTTAAGTGTAGAACTCTAATAGACAAGACAGTATCTGTCACATTTTAACAAATGTTGACCCACTGCCAACCAGGAGACTTTCTTCTTACCTTCTGGTTTTGTGAACAAACCATATGAAGAGGAATAGTGTTCTATTACCACCCCTTCTCTCCTCCAATTTTTAAAAATTGTTTATTCTTGTTTTTTTTCCCATTACCATTTATCCCCCTTATACCCTCTTCCACCTCCACCCCAACTCCCCCAATTTTTTCTTTTTTTTAAAAAAACTGGTCTTGCCCTGGCTGGCTAGCTCAGTTGGTTAGAGCACTGTGCCGATATGCCAAGGGTGTGGGTTTGATCCCTGGTCAGGGCACATACAAGACAACTAGTGAATGTATAAATAAGTAGAAAAACAAAATTGATATTTCTCTCTCAAGAAGGATAGGGCACTAGAAGGATGGATGTTAAGAACAAAATTCTTTTCAGAAAAACACAGAGGCAGATACTTGGTAAATAAAAAATTAGATACAAAGGCTCTAATAATACTATATGCAATTATTTGAAAAGGAAACCAGCAGCTGGTGCAGAGAAAGCCAGAAGTCTTATCAAATCCCATAAGCAGCTATCTTATGAAGTAGTGACTACAGCGGAGGCAGAGATAGGGCAGGAAGGCTCACATGGCCTAGTACGAATTCCATGGGGTTATATTTTCAGAGATAGAGGCTGATGACTGTATCCCTTGGAAAATGCTAAAAGCAATGTTTAACATCCATCGAACACTCACACACGTGGAGTCGAATAAAATGAAGACAAAGACACTTCCAAGTGGGATGACATCTTCTATTACACAGAAATAAATCAGGAAACTTATCACTATAAGTCAATATAGCAATAAATAAAGACAACATGATTATAGTAATAGATGCCAAATTTGATGAAATTCAGCAAATATTACTAATTTTTTTAAAAAACGGAAATAGAAAAAACCAAGAAAGTAACAATATAGTATCTTTTAATGATCATCTTCGATGTGCCTTTTTACCTGGTTATCTTATATATTCACGTTATAACCCCAGGAAGTAACCTCATTTTGCAGAAGAAAAAAAAAAGACAGCCCAAAGACGTTTAAGTAGCTTGTCCAAGCTCCCCATCCGAGGAATAAAGGGGTGGAGCCGGCACTGGAGGACAGACAGGGGATAACTCCAACACGCGTTTCCGTCTTCTACTACCTGTGCAGGCTCTAACCCGCGTGCCTCCGGGCGCGAAGACAAGAGAATACACCCAGAGCCCGTAGACACTGGTGTCACCCGATCCAAAACGAAACTGGGGCAATTCTGATGAAGCGGCGCCTCGTTCATTCACCGAATGTTTTAAAAGCACCTACCCGAGTGCCAAGGACACGCAAGTAGCAGTGATCAAACACTCACGTCCACTGTCTGCACCGGGCTTACAGTCTTGAGGCCTGTACAGTCTAGCTCCCCGCTCTGGACTAAAGGAATGGGCGCCTCGCACCGGAAGTCCACTCCAGGGGGACCCGAAGAAGGCTGGGGGAGCACGAGGACTGGCGCGAGGAAGGGGTGTGGCGCGCGCGGAGGGAACGCAGGACGTGTGCGGGCGGGTGGCTGGCGCACAGGGTCCGACGAGGTGGGACCGGAACGCCTAGCGCGCGACAAACTACTCAGAAGCGAAGAGACAATTCTCCAAAAATGGAGCCATCAGCCCTGCGGCCCTGGCAGGGCCCTTGGGAGGATCTTCAAAGACGCCGTACGGGGCGGGAAGTGCATCTGAAGTCTTCCTGGACTCACGTCCGCCTCAGGTCCTCGGCTTTGGGAAGCGGAATCGAGGTCAAGGAGCAGCAACGGGCACTCACCGTCCATGGTCTCCCTCACCGCATTGAGATTCGCCGTCGCCGCCGCCGCCGAGGCCCCAGCGCCGCTACTTGCCATGGCTGAGGCCGACGAAGGCGGGAGCTGCAGGGGCTGACCCGGAACTGGAGCGCCTTCCTTTCTCCTAGGCAATCACACCGCGCGTCCCCGCTCACGCCGGGCAGGCTCCGCCCCTCGCGCTAGTCGCCGGCTGGATGCTCGGTTGATTTTGAATTTGGAGCGTTGTTACTCAGCGCGGAATGTGAAGCGTGGAGTTGCCATTCGAATGTGGTACGCCGCCTCGGTGCGATTGGCTGGTTCGCGGACAGCGGTATGACGCGGTTGGCCAATGGTCCGCAAGCCCGAGCCCTCTTTGGCGTAAGACAGCGCGGAAGCGGGGAGTTAAAGAGTCTGTGCCTGTTGTGGGAACAGGCTTGGCCCCTTCGGAACGCTGGAGTGGCCTTTGGGGGACTTCTTTTTTATACACACCATTAGGTACGTTCTTTATAGTTCCTGGCTCTTCCCCTGTGTCGAATTGGAGAGTTCGCTTTTCCCGGCTTCGGACCCTCGTGTCCGCCAGCTCCGGGATGAATGGGAGGACCGTGAGAGTGTGCAGGAGTAGGGAGGGACACTAAGAAAGAGTAACAGCGTGGGTTGGAGGTGACACTGGCGTGAGTGTCCTTCTGTGCTTTTCACCCAAGGGAGCCAGCTGCACCCTTCCAAGAAGTGGAGACTCGTTTTCACTAATTGTAGCCCTTTTCTACTGGAAGTAATGCAGCCTCGCCTTCTACCCTGGGGTTCTCAACGAAAGGAGAGTGTTTTAAGGAGAGGCAACCGTAGGCGGTTGATTTCCTACCCCTAATCGGTCATACTTCCTTGGCCGCAGTTAATTTGCCAGAAGGGCACGCGTGCACAAGGTTTATGGTCTCTTGTCGCAAATACATGTTTAGTAAATGCAGTTTGATAAGGGAATTTGCTGGGATGTTAGAAGGATGTCAAAGTGTTGAGAGACTTGATATAATGAACTAAAAGCTAGAGGTATAAGTCCTTTAGTTGGAAGGAATTTTCTGCCTATTGTAACATTTAGTTACCTCGAAAGCAGACCTGAACTCATTCACTTTGGTTAACTGGTACTTATAAGAAACTTAAGTTCTCTGAGCTTATTAATTGTACAAAATGATGTCACTAATACCTTTCTTTAGTTTTCAAGGTTATTTGGAGGATCATTTGAGAAAATATGTGATTTCTTTTGTAAGCTATATAGAAAAGCTCCAACAGCATTAGGTTTTGAGTTAATTTTTGTAATGATTGTTGAATACATTTTAATTGTCAAATTGAATGTCAGTGGAACTTAGTAGTTTCATTATATATACTTCTGATTTCTCTTTAGCTTTTTTTTTCTGTGCTATGGGAGATGTCAAAGAACCAAAAATGCAAATAACACCGGAAACTCCAGGAAGGATCCCTGTTTTAAATCCTTTTGAAAGTCCTGGTGATTATTCTAATCTCCATGAACAAACTGTCTCCAGTCCTGTTTTTAAGTCAACAAAATTACCAGTAAGTTACTTTTAACTAGTGTTTACAAATAATTTTAAGTATAAATATCTACAAGGTAAGGGGTTACCATGGAGCTTATATTACTTAAAATGTGCTTTTTTCATTGTAATGTTCATTATAATCTAGTGGTTGGGCAAAAAATAAGTTAGCTAGAAGATTTTTTTAGTTAGCATTCCTCTCTCTCTTTTTTTATTTAATAAATAACATGTTAGCTTCCTACAATTGTGCTGTCTATAGTTGATATATCTACCAATACCATATTAGAGAAGAAGCTATGTCATCTAATTGTCTATTCTCGTTTATTCAGCAAACATTATTTGAAGGCTGCTATGTGTCATGTACAGTGCTAGGCATAGAGGTTACACTGTGAACAAGTCAGACCATTACTAATGCAGGGGTCAGCAAACTTTTTTCTGTCAAGAGTCAGTCAGTAAATATTTAAGGCTTTGCTGTTACAACTACTCACCTGTGCTTGTATCACAAAAGTGGCCATAGGCAATATGTAAATGTATAAACTTGGATGTGTTCCAATAAAGCTTTATTTATGGGCACTGAAACTTGAATTTCATGTAATTTTCATGAAATGCTAATATTCTTTTGGGTTTTTCTCAACCATTCATAACTTGCAGATTGCATAATGGGATAGACAAATTAGGACTAAATTAGCAACTTCAAAAGAATATGACAATGTGCTGTGACTAGTGGTTAAGCATAAGGGTGCTATGGAAGGGAAAGTGTTCTTCTGGAGATTAGGGAAGGCTTATTTTTCCTGTTATTGGCTACACTGGAGAATTTCTTTTGAAGTCTGATCTTTACATCTAGTAAATTATCTAGAAAACAACAATATGAGCGGTTGTTGATGCATTTATGCTACATGTTCATATCAGCCTTCAGCAGATTTGCCCTAGAGGAAACTTTTAGCTATACAGTTTATATTAAGTCATTAATCTGACTGCACTTTTAATTGAATCATATTAAATCTTATTTATATATTAGTCTTAATAAAAAAAATGGAATGATTCAACTTAATCCTCAAAGCCAGGTGTATGGCATCTTTGGTTGTTAAACCTGAATTTGTCAAAAGTATATTCTGACTTACAGTTTACGATTTGGTTAAGAGTTTTCTTTAGTTAGATAGTTGAAAGAAAGGGGGCACTGGTTACCAATTATAGTTACTTTAAGGATCAACTATTTTATGAGCTTTTGAAGGCACTTTTGTAGTTAGGATTTTAATTTTAGTTCATTCTTATTGAAAGTAAATACTTTTGGTAACTAAGAGTTTTACCTTTACTTGGCCATCACCGATGAGTGTTGATTGTAGAATTTCTTTTTTTTTTTTTTTAAGATTTTACTTATTTATTTTTAGAGATGGGAAGGGAGGGAAAAAAAGAGAGAGAGAAACATCAATGTGTGGTTGCCTCTCGAGTGGCCCCCACTGGGGACCTGGCCCACAACCCAGGCATGTGCCCTGACTGGGAATCGAACCTGCGACCCTTTAGTTTGCAGCCCATGCTCAATCCACTGAGCTACGTCAGCCAGGGCAATTGTAGAATTTCTATACTGTTAATACTCTACTGTGATTTACCTATTATGTAATTTAAAAAATCACCCAGAGACAAGAGTGGATATTTTAAAAGAGATACATACAATCAAGTAAATTAGTTTGTTTGACTACCACTAGCCATTTAATTTTGTGGCAAAATCAAATTTAAAAATAAGAGGCATAAGATATTTTAATAATATAAACAAACATTCACATTATTTTTGAGGTTGACAGTGGTTAGCATTTTGATGAATTATTTCAGTTTGCTTTTATTCATAAGCTCACTTTCTCTTATCAAGACCCCAGGAAAATTTAGGTGGTCTATTGATCAACTAGCTGTAATAAATCCTGTAGAAATAGACCCAGAAGACATTCATCGTCAAGCCTTGTACTTAAGTCGTTCTCGGTAAGTTTCCCCTTCTTGCACCAAAGTGTAATAACATACTCTCATGTGAAGAGAGAAGGGAATTCCTGAGTTGAATATTTTCATATGTAATAATATAAAGGAGGAAAAATTGTAATACAGATTTATCTTATCTAAATGAAAAGTAAGTTCAAAAACTACACCCAGAAAGATCCCCTTGCTAACAGTTCCAAATTCGGGTAGGAGTTCTCCTCTTTCAGAGATAACTTCTCCCTCTGCTACTCATGGGACAACTCTGCCTCTTCAGCGCTTGGAAAAGGGAAGGGCGTTTTGAAATCTGTACCTTTCTACATGATTGTGGCTTCTGCCATTGAATCGTTTTGTTTTTTGGGGGGTATATGGTAAAGCAAAATACTGTTTCATGGCCACATGCATTTAGGGAAGCCTAAAAATCCGCTTTCCAGGTTAAGACACATTGAATGAAAGGGTATCTATTAGCAACAAAGAGGGCTTCCATAGACTTCATTTGTCTTTGACATAGGACACTTGGGGATCTGAATTATAATGTCTTGAATCCAACCTAGTGATCATATTAGCCTTAACTTCATTGTTGATGTGTTCTGTAGGTTTCCAAGCACTAGTACGCCTCTGACTTACCCTGCTTAAAAAAATCTCATGTAATGAGAACATGTACTGTATTTTTCGGACTATAAGACGCACCCCCCAAATTTGGGAGGAAATGGGGGTGTGTCTTATAGTCTGAATGTAGCCTACCTGGCTCACTGTGGTGGGGGGAGTGGTGGAGCAGGGTCACAGGTTATTAAATATTTTACCACATTTTTTGCTTCAAATTTTTTTTCCCTATTTTCCTCCTCTAAAACCTAGGTGCATTTTATGGTCCGGTGTGTCTTATAGTCCTAAAAATATGGTACTTTTTTGGTAGAACAGACCAAGTTTTTTGTTACAAATTGCAATGTTTTTTTTTTTTTTAAGATTTTCTTTCTTTATTTTTAGAGAGAAGGGAAGGGAGAAGAGAAAGAGGGAGAGAAACATCAATGTGACAGAGAAACATTGATCAGTTGCCTCTCACACAGCCCCAACTGGGGGCCTGACCCACAACCCAGGCATATTTCCAGACTGAGAATCAAACTGGCGACCTTTTGGTTTACAAGGATGACACCCAACACACTGAGCCACACCAGTCAGGGCTGCAGTGGTCTGTAATTACAAATTATAAATAACAGTTTTATTACTAGTCTGAGGGACTCATCAGTTTTATAGTCTAATTTTTAACTTGAGAAAGTTGAATACTGGTATGATCAGCTTTTAATTTTTGGTCGTAAGATACATTTGTTGTTTGTCCAAAATAATTGGTAATCGTTTATCTTTAGAATTTAGTCACACAAAGATGTACACATGTTGAGATACTCTCGAAAATATTTGTCTGGCTTTTCTATCCCTTCCACTCTTGGCTTGGTAACTTGATGACCATTCATTAATTAATTAATGTCCATCCAAAGGGAATAGAATGCAGAATGAGCATAAAAGGATTTTCACTTAAATTGAAATACTTTTGAAAGAGAAAGTAAAAAGAATATCTAAAAGCAAATGAGTCACAAATGAGACTAATTTTTTATTTCACACAAACTATATGCTTTATTTTGCCTCTTTACATATTCAACCATGAAAAACTTACCTATTAAGTCAAGAGATATTCACTGAGCCCTGAGGCACGAAAGGAACACTGAAGAAGTACGTAGAGGACATTATTCCTACCCTCTAGAGTCAATAATGCCACTAACCAAAGTTGTGACACAACATTGGTTATACTTACTAATAAATGACATATTGTCTGGGCACATTTATGAATCTTGGTGTATATCAGTAGATATAGGGTAGGGGTAAGGAGGGGTTAAAGACCCTGACTTTAATTTACTAATGTAATTCAGTGAATGATTATGGCTTCTACCAAGGTTAGTGAGTAGAGTTTTAAAACAGGTTGATTCATTCCTAGCAATGACTTTTGATATCTCTTCTTATGTAATCCAAGTTCCCTATATCAGTGCTTCCCACCCTTTTCATGCCATGCTATGCATAAAAAAATAACCCTAAGGCATAGTGGTGTAAACAGAGGAATCTTTCCATACGGGAGGTCAGCAGTCCACAACCTCGTCTCCTCTAAGAATGCATTCAGGGCATACCTGTAACCTATATGCGTCATGCTGGTGTTCTGTAATATACACATAATGTCAGGATACTGTACCCTATGTGAGTTCTTAGGACCTGGCATGATCTGGCCCTACAATATTTTGCCAAGCTGCTTTTCCCTGCTTTTACCTGAACATTTCAGGTCACTGGAGTCCCTCTGATGAAGCAGCAAAAAGTTTCTGAGTGGGGTGATGCTAGATCAGACCTCACTAACGCTATGTGCTAGTATTATTGTACACCATCATTTTGACCTGGTTCTGTTCGTGATGAGATGAAGAGAATTGAGTTATCCTCAAAATGGCTGTTGTTTAAACTGAGACATGGGGATTATCACTGAAGTCTTTCTCATAATTTTCTTATTTGAAAAACCCACCTGATTTTAGTTTCTGAAATGTGTGCATTATTACATAAGCGTTATTAACCATAAACATATATATATATGAGAAAAGATTTTGAGATTAAAAAAGTATCTTACTAATTTATTGATGGAAGCAAATATTCTTTCCTGGAACAGATTAAAGAAGTGGTTCTACAAGGCTAACTGCCGAGTCCTTTGGCAAGTATATGCCTTGTGCCTGAGACCAGACATTTTATATTAAATCACACAGCTGATCAATTTCTGTAATTATAATCGTGTATTGTACCAAGTGAAAAGATTCATTTGGACAAAGTTTTTTATTGTTGGTATTTTATTTCATAATTAATACTTTTGTCTATTCAGTTGTCTAAGTGATAGTTTCTATTTCAAAGTAAGAGTTGATTCTAAAAATATGACTGATAAACTTGGTTATAATTGAAGAAAATGAATTTTTAGATTTCTGTAGAATGAAATACTTATTAATTTGCTGTGATTAAAGGATAAAGTTTATTTAACTTCCATTATGTTAATAGCAACTTTTAAATTATTACCAGTTTAAACATTGTAAAAGAAAATATTATTCCCTTCAAACTGTGAATGGAATAAGAGAGTTAAGCCTAACAGTGCAATGCTGAATATCTAAATAATATCATTAACTAAATGCAAAATATTCCAATTTTTCTTTTAAAGTAAGCTTAACATTTGTCAGTTTTTAAAAGAAAGAAATCATTTCTTTGAAAGGTTATTATTTTAAATGTTCAATCAGCTGAAATAATGGCCTGGTTATTTTTCTTCTTTATCTTTGTATAGAATAGATAAAGATGTGGAAGACAAAAGACAAAAAGCCATTGAAGAGGTAACTTAAAACTGTTACTGATCATTAAACCAGTGAAGCATCAATTTCACGTGCATGCCACCACTTTTAGGAAGACTTCCTTCAAATCCTTTCCTGTCCTAGCTCCACACCAACCTGCCTGTCCCCAGCTGTACGAGTGTCCCTCTGTGCTCCTGTAAGATGGATGTTTTCCAGCTATTCCAACGCCTCTCATACTTATCTACTATTGTGATCGATTTAGTGATTTTTCTCCCCTAGACTGAATTCATTTTTGGCCAATATTGTGCTTCATTCATCTTTTCATTCTCAGGGTCTAGCAAGTTTCTGCCTTCCTTGTGCCTTCAGAATATTGATTAGCACAAACTTGTGGAGTTTAGGTAGAGGAAGTTGAATGGTTTTAGACCTGGAAAATCCAGACTGGCTTTGGTAATGGTTTTCTCTTTTGATGTTGTTAATACTTTGGATTTTTAAGACAGTGTATTTCATGAAATAAAATGTCTCACTGATAAGTAGAAAAGGTGTTTTACAAATACAGAGGTTTTTTTTTTTAATACAAATTATGAGCTAAGCTTTTCATTTTTGTTTTTCTGCAGAGCCCTTCTTAGAATGCAAGTAGGGGCTATCTGTCTAGCTACTTTCTCAGAGCTTTCTCAGAACTGTTCCATGGGAACAGTTTTTATTTTCCCTTTTCCCTCGGTAGCCCTCTCTACCCACCTCTATTCCTTAGCTATATGCGGCTCTTCTGTGCCCCAAGAGACTTAGCTGCAGCCTGTTCAGAGTTCTGGCCCCTTCTGTCCTTACTTTTTCAGTGTTGGTGATGTCACCTTGTATTTAAGATACAGCCTGTTTCTTCAAAAATCATTTCATGTGCTTTACTCCAAACTTTATCTACTTAATCTAACTTGTAATTCAAAATGTTCATTCTGATCCAATCACTTGCGTCCTCCTCAGTTGAATATTCTCAGACTCTTTCCCATTTTCCAACATTTTAGAAAATATGCTTTCTTTTTAGAATCTTCAGCTTTAAAAGGAAATTCAGCAGAAGACTAGGAAAATGAAGTCAGAGTGAAGATTAGGGTCAATGTATCAAACAACTTAAAGTTTTTCATGTACATATTTAAAATAGAATAAATACACAGTAAAAATAAAAAGCTCAAACTGCAAATAAAACATATCAGATGAAAACCAGGAGCCTCTTGTTCTCCCACCCCACTTTCTATAAGTAACTACTGTAACAATTATACTGTCATTAATTTTATGCATGTAATAGCACATGTCCTTTAAATGCAGGGTCCGGCAGAAGCAAGGCCTGCTTGAGTGTGGTTAGTAGGGTAATAATATGGGTGTAATAATTTATCGTTTTAATTTGAACATTTCACTTAAAAGGTCATATGGTATGCTTGAGTGTGTTATGTTACAGAATTATGTGCTTATGATTTGAAATAGAAGATTTTGTAATAAAAAAGGGGCATTGTTTGTGGTGGACCCTGTATTTTACACATGTAGGATCATTGTTCTCATACTCCTTTGCATCTTAATTTTTTTATTTCCTTATTATCCGCACACACCAATTTTAGTAATACCATAGTATTCCATTGTATGAATGTATCATAACCTAACTCAGCCCCTATTGATATTTGTTTAGGTTGTGTTCGGTGTTTTTCTATCACAAATAATGCTTCAGTGAACACCCTTGTACGTATATCTTTGTATATTGAAATGGACTTGCTAAGTCAGAGGCTTTGTGTTTTTAGTTTTGGTAAACCTTGCCACCTTGCCCTCCCAAAGGCTGGTGCCAGTTTTTTTCCCAACTGTATTGTGATACTTCCTGTTTTCTCAAATCTGCAATACTGGTTGTTTTCAACCTTTTAATTCATGCTGCTCTTACTACTTTAAAATTTTATCTGCTTATTTGGATTTGTATATGTTTCATTTTGAGTGAACTTGTGCATGGTTTCCTAATTTTAGAGGTCCTTTCTATTTTTTTCTGGGATTATCTACTTCATAATCTTTGCCCCTCCCCCCTTTTGCATCTTTTCCTCATGCATTCATAGGTAGTTTAGTCAAGGAAATTTGTTCTTTGTTATAGGTATAGCAAAATGTAAAGAGAACATTCTGAGTTGCCCCCAAAACATAGAAAGGGAAGGGGAGAATGTAGTATGAGGCTTAACTTTACATCTAGAATGAAAGAGGAAGACATGTATCCAAATCCTCTATCTCCTTTTGAAAATATGGTGGTGTGTTTGTGTAACAGCTGGCTGTCTGGTTGTGGGAAGAATATGAGTTTTAGTGATTGCTGCTATTTGTGATGGAAATATTCCAACTGTGGCCAAATTTATGTTACTCATGTTCCATCACTGAATGGGAAAAGAACTGCAGGTTAGACCATTGTATAAAGGAGTTCCACTGTGCAGATCAAAAGACATAACCTCAAGCGTAGATATTGAGAATGTAGTAAAATAGTAGCAAGCGATGCTTTTGAGTATTTATTACTTGTATTTTTAATATAATTTATTGTAAATTTATATGATTTTATTTTTTAATTTGAAAATATTAATACACAATTTGATTTTCTTTCAGAGAAAAAAATGACAAACCACCAAAATTACATTGCAAATTACAGAAATAATATTTCTTTAGATTATATTACCATCTAGAGTTAGCCAACATTGAACATACTAACTTTGGTCCCAATTTCTTTTGCATTATTTAACACTGTTTGTTTTAAATTAAATTTATTGGGGTGGCATTGTTAATAAGATCATATATTTCAAGTACACATTACTATGATTCAGATTTGCTTGCAGCTTATTTTATTTTTAACATTAGCTTTGCGCACAATTCCTGAAAATTTAATAGTTAGATCTTGAGAGCCGATGCAAGCCAGCTCCAGCACACCACTCATACTAGCTTACTTGTCGGTGTCTGTCTCCATTTACTCCATCCTCTTCTTCCTTCCTTTTGTCATTCTCCCTCAAATAAAAGGTGGGGAAGAGATTATAAGTATATTTTCTGTGTTTAATGCCCTACACATAATATGCAAGTTTCAAATTTAAGTGGTTGATTTGGAGTATTAAGATTTCTCTTTATATGTACTTTAAATTTCTCCCATTTCACTTTAGATCATTTGTACTTTTAAGTATTAAAATTTTTAATTATAACTTGTAAGTCGGTATATAGTATTTCTGATGGTTATTTGGAGTTAACACAGGTACTTTTTATATTTGAGGGGAATTTATGTCTAACTGTATGACTTTAATCTTATAGTTTTTCACTAAGGATGTCATCGTACCCTCTCCTTGGACTGATCATGAAGGGAAACAGCTTTCAGAGTATCATTCCAGTAAATGTGAGTGTGCAAAAAAATCATTTGAATAAAAATCATAAAATTATAAAACTCCATGAATGTGAAGTGACATATAATGAAGTGTTAGTTTACCTGGTTTGGTAAGGAACTTGCTATAATTTAAATTTAGGTATACCATAGGATTTAACTATTTAAGTATTAGAATTCAAGTTTGACTTAAATGCACTGAATTTGGGATTTTGGCCATTCTATTCTGAATTTAACTTTTTCTCCATGACCATTGTGAATATCACGTATAATGATAGTGATAGAGGCTCTGTAGATGCAGAAGTAGTTGGTACTGAATGTAGAGCTAAGAGTTATTACTGACTTTTGCAGTGATTTTGAAGGTTAATTTTTTAAATGAAATCCTTAAATTGCTTTGCTTTTTTGTTAATTTGCTGATTTCTTATAAAAGTAGAGGAAGGATGGACACTTGACCTCTGGGACAGTGTAATATAGCTGATTATCTGCAAAATTAATAAGCAAATTGAAGGGCATGCCAGTAATTTTGAAATTTTTTTTACCTCCAGGAAATAGTTATATTTGCTCTCACTATCCTTTGAGTTGTAAGCAGTGTTCAGATATTACTTTGTGTACATGCATCCCTCATTTCAGTGGGATCGCCCCCTCTTCTACGTAGCGAGCGTTCATTATGATCTAAGGGTAAGGGAATATTTGTTCCATTCTTTATCAAAACCACAACAATAATGGGTAGAACGGACTGAGCACTTCCCATGTGCTGGGACAGTGCTAAGTGATTTCAGTAATTCTTTATAGAAATTTATATGAGGTAAGTGCTATTATTATCCCCATTTTATAGGTGAGAAAACCTAGTTTTAAAAAGGTTAGAACGCATGTTTCAGGACTATAGATATGATCAAAGTAAAAGAACCTGGATTCGAAACTAGGCATCTTCATTTCAGAGTCTGTATCCTCAGCCATTACAAGCTATGATAGTGGATGTAGACCTCCTGCTACTGACTATAAAACAGAAAGGGTGACTTGATCAACTTATTCAATCTCTTTAGACTTCGGTTTTGTTTATTGTAAAATAAAGGGGTTGGACTATAAGGTTGTTTTTAACGCCCCTCCCAGCTCTAAAATTCTATATCCAAGTTGATATTTTCTTTTCTTTTTTTTTTAAGGTTTTATTTATTTATTTTTAGAGAGTGGGGAAGGGAGGGAGAAAGCAAAACGTCAATGTATGAGAGATACATCTATCAGTTGCCTCTTGTGCACCCCCAACTGCGGACCTGGCCTGAAACCCAGGCAAGTGCCCTCACTGGGAATCGAACTGGCAACAGGCCAGCACTTAATCGATTAAACCACACCAGCCAGGGCTCCAGATTGACATTTTCATAGACACCACGTTTTCCCCCAAATTCTTTAATTTTTTATTTTTGAAGAGGTGAGTTGACCTTCTTATGTGATCTTTTTAATAAAATAATTTGTATATATTGAGTATCCTGTGTTAGTTATAGTGATACAGGATCAAGAAGATGCGAAAAATATGACAGCTTCTGTGACATGCTGATCTAGTCCAGCCCATGATGACAGAGTGCAGTGGTTAGTGGGTGGGTTCCAGAGCTGCACTGTCCAGTGTGGTGTTGGGAGACAATTCTCTGTGTCTCACATTTCTGCACATGAAGTGAGGAGTGATACATACAGGCTTGTTCCCAAACTAACTTTTCAAGGACATTTGAAGTATGAATGTCCTTGGAAGACAGAGATAGTGAATCTCTCCAGAGCAGAGAGTAGGCTTTGTGTCTTCCTCTGGAGCAGGTTTGCTCACAGCTTATAAAAAAAATGGGATTTCCCACAAATTGGCAGTTATAAAATAATCACGAGGTTGTAAAGTACAACATAGGAAATATAGCCAATAATATTATAATGATTATGTTGTATCGTGGGACTATTAGACTTACTGGGGGGGTCACTTCATAAATATTTAACCAGTGTGCTATACATCTGAAACTAATATATGTTGAATGGCAACTGTAGTTAAAAAAAAAAAAAGAATGGGATTTCCCAAGTTTAGGGTTCCTCGGCTGTGATGAAAACCCACTGTGTGTGCCACATCCACCTGGGCTTCATGTCACCTCCTTTGGACTTAGGGGTGAAGGGAACTGACGTGAACATGAAGCTTCTGCACCCTGCCGTGCTGGGAACAATGAAGTTCTGTGTCTTGACCCACAAGTCCCATGTCTTCAGCCTCCTTAGAACATTGACACGTTACCTTGTCATCATGCAAGGAGGGTGAAATCTCAGATTATTCAGTTCTTCACATACGGTAACCACTAGCCAAATGTGGCTTTTTAAAGTTCAGTACATTTAAATTATACATTTAGACTCCTTATCACATTGTTCACATTTCATGTTTAAGGTATTTGGATTCTAACCTAAAAAGCAAGGACATTATACAGGGTTTTCAGCTATGGAGTGCCTTGTTGGCATTTGCCTTATAGAAGAAGGTCGTGCCACCTTGATAGGGATCCTGGCCAGCAGGATCCGTGTGTGATCCATGTGTGTTGTGGCTGCTGTGAACAAATACAGACTACAGAAGTCCTGTGGAGAAAAAGGGGATGGTGCTGCCACTCCCTAAGTGAGAGAGAGGGAGAGAGGGCTCTGGCCCCTGCCAGCACAGGCTTTTATTGCTTTTCTGGGTACATTAGTGGAGGATGGTCCTCATTTACTATGCACAGATTCCTGTAGATAATTGATTACCTTTTACAGATAACAAAGGTAAGAATGTTGCTAATTACTTAAAAGAGAAGGATGTTGCAGACCAAGGGGAAAAGTGGTTGAACCAGTTACACTCCATACTTGGGAGGTTTAGTACAGTTTAGGAAGTTACAGTAAGCTCTTACTGCCTCAATTCAGGGTGAGGGCATTTTAGCAAAAGCAAGCCTCATAGCAATCTAGGTATAATGCAGCCTGATTCACCAAGGGAAAACCTCTCAGTGGGTGTGGTCCTGTATGCCAGCTCGCTCCCCACTGGTTTTCCATGTGAGTGCTGAGTTACATTTCCATGCCGTGAGACCACCTACAGCAAAAAATGGCATTTGAATCTAGAATTTTATTTTTTACCAATTCTGATAGTATTTAGGAGGAGACTTTAACTTATTTATCCACCCACCTACTTACTCATTCATCTATTTACTTATTTAGGTTTCTTAGGTTACTGGGATTTATTCTATTATTGTATTTTAAGCTTTCTGGGATGTTTTTTGCCTCCTTGTTTTTCCTTTTTTTGTTTTTGTTTTTTGCTTATATTAGTTATTTTTGTCATTTTTTTAACCTGGTGATTTTCAAATTATAAAGCTTAATATTAACTTTCAATTTTTTCAAAAATTATTTGCAGCTATATTTTGACTCCTGTTGTGAAAAAAAAAGAACTTGGTTTTATTTATATCAAATTTTAGGTTTTCTCAAAATGATCTGGCATTTTAATTCAGACAATTTATCTGAACCCATTTTTCAAAAACATTAAGTGACAGAGGAGCTGTTTGAGGATGACTAACACTCATCCAGCCTTTCAAGCTTGGTATCACGGAGTGCAACCATGCTTTCCTTCACATGTCACGGTATTTTGGCATGTAAAATGCTTACCCATGTTTTTGGCCCAAACTTTCAGGGGAAAAATCTTTTGTTTTAATTTTTTAATTCAATTATTTATTTATTTGTGCTTAGATTCTTGTTTTCTGTATTATAAAGGAATTTTAGCATTTATTTATGAACATATGGTACAAGAAATTTTATGGAGCAATTACAAAACACAAGAACAGGTACAAGGTATTTCAGGTACTACCCATGTATAATGCACATCCTTATTTTTCCCTCAAAATTTTGGGCAGAAAATGTACATTATACACAGCAAAAGATGATACTTGTTGCCTCTTTATTTGCTATACAGTAATAATCCTTCAAGTTTTATCTTTGTGTTCCCTCAAAATTAAAAAAGATAAACTTAACAGAAGTATGTCACATTATGTACTTATATATGCAGATTGGTTTTTATTTTTTCTTTTTATACAATTTAAATTATTTTATTGTTCAATTAGAGTTGTCCATATTTTCTCCCCACCCCCTCCAAACCCACCTGCCTCCCTTGCTTCTACCCTCTGCCTTGGTTTTGTCCACATGTCCCCAGACATTGGTTTTTAAAATGTAAAATAAACGTTTCCATTTTGTTCTTTTTTTTTTTCACTGTGGAAAAAGTAACCCCTAAAGTAGATGAAGAATATAAAATGTAAGATTTTTACTTTAAATGTTTTACAGATGTTAATGTAAATAATGAATCTCCAATTGGAAGAAAGCTGACCATCCATTCTGAGAAAAGTAATGGTGAGTATGAATATATTCTGGAAAGATGTATGTTCCACATTAAGATATATTTAATTTTAAATTCAGTTTATGTAGTGACACTTTACTCTGGAATTGGAGTTGTGTACTTTTAATTAATGAGCTATATAAGAGCTGACTTTTAAAAATAATTAGAATAGATACATCAAGCCATGTTTTAAAAATAGCAATAGTATGTTGTTTGTTTTTTGGGGGGTTCAAAGCATAGAAATTGCTTTTTAGTTTTGAAGATCTATTTTTTAATTTGTTAATATTGGGAAATTTATCCCCAAATATGGGTTGACTTCTCTTTTTATTCAAATGCCAGCAGAACAGCCAGGAGTTAATTTGAGCCATTTACAATTTATATCAGTGCTAGAAAGTATGGGAAACCACTTACAGGAAGGTGACATGTTATGCAAAACAATCCATAAATGAAATAATTGACTTTGGCTGGAACATTGTGGGAAGGTGTTTGATTGGGAAGCGCATGGTAGATTGTATGTGATATGCTTGCATTGATTTATCCATATGCTTCTATTTTTTTATCTGCTTGTTTCCAGCTGCTTGTCAGACATTGCTGTCTCTTCCTGTGGATTTTAATATAGAAAATGTATTAGGTAAGTATTGTATTTATTTAAACCTTTAATAACTTAAAAGGTTTTGTTTTAATGGCTTTTTGTAAATAGAAATGCTTCTTTCTATAGAAGTCAGGGAACTAGTCTGAAATCTCTCTCCATTTTTTTAAATCTGGCCTAAATTAGCCTTTTTATCTTAGTGATCTTTTCTGTAGACATAAACTATTTATGCAAACACCTTACTGGTGTTACTTATAATAATAATGAAGCACTCAAAAAAGAAGGAATAATTTCAGATTTTAAACATCACATAATGTTATTAAACTTTGCTCTATTGAAACCAATTCAAACATACAGTGTATGGTGGTTTTGGAAAAATCATATAACTGAGGTGTAATTGTTCTTCAAAATGACTAGCTTTGCCTTTTGCTCTGTTAACATTAAATGTAGGTGACTATTTTAGAGCCGATGAGTTTGCGGATCAATCTCCTGGAAACCTTAGTTCTTCGTCCCTCAGAAGAAAGCTGTTTTTAGATGGCAATGGAAGTATCTCTGACTCCTTACCTCCGGCTTCTCCTAGAAGTCTTCCCAGTAGTGCTCCAACATCACTCGAGGTTTTCTATTCAATAGATTTATCTCCTGTTCGGTGTAGGAGTCCTGTGCAGACGCCAAGTTCGGTAAGGAGTGTGTTAAAAAGTGGCTGGTTATTTTCTTATAGATATAATTGGACTTTGGTGCCCGTATTGCACTTGAGAAATGGTTGCCTTTCAGGTTTTATATTTCATAAGGATTATATTAGTTCACATTTTCATTATTCAGGAATGTTTTTGGTTATGTTTTACAATTTTGCATTTAGAGATACATGGGATCATCAAATTTATCGTGTGTCTCAAGGAATTTCAATGTAATTTGTTCACTGATTTAAGATTTTCAGTGTGACACAACAGGATTGGCATGGATGAAGTAATTTAGTTAAAATTTTTCATGAACAGCTGCTTAGTATGAAATATAGTGGTTTATTTAAACACTGCATTTATATTTTATATTGACTAACAGATTCTGTTTGAAAATTTTTGTAACAATTTTCTCAGCTATTCTTGTTACAAGATGCCTTGACTTGGCATCTTTACTTTAGGGAGATCAAAGTTTATATGATCTACTTTATAAATGTGTTTTGAACATGAAAATAAAAGTTGAGGAAGAGAACTGTATATTTTAATTATTTGTTTTTATCATAGGGGCAGTTTTCTTCTAGCCCTATTCAGGGTAGTGTGAAAAAATACAGTTTGGGAAGTATAACCAATCCTTCACCTATTTCTTCACCCACTTTCTCACCAATTGCGTTTCAAATAGGAAAAGCACCTCTTTCAGGTATGTCTCATAATGTAATACCTAATTTAAATTTTTAATCAATTTTTGTTATTATAGAGGCTCTTTTTAGCTTGTTCTAACCTTTTAAAATTTAGAAACTTTTTTTTTTTACAAAAAAGAATAATTTACCTATAAAAACAGATTCTCAGCAAAGTTGTACTCTAGTGTTAAATACAGGTCATTTGATTAGCAGTATTTATATCAGGCATTCTCATAAAGGGAATCAAAGAAAGATGGCAATTTTAGAGATAGGTTGGCTGGGGGTATGCTTTGGTTTTGCTTCTCAACTGTAGGTTCACACTTTGGCAATCAGATTTCATATTTTGTAAACGTGCATGTGTTTGAGTAGGGTTTTTAAAGCAAATGTAGCATGGGGAAATTTATATATTTCACTTTGCAGTATGTCAATTTCTCAAAACCTATTTATAGTAAAGACAAGCAGAAAACTGAAAATGGTATTTTTTGTTAGTCCTTCCTGTGAGTGTGTTTGTACGTATACGGAGGGTCACATACACACACACTCACACAGTTCTCTGTCCTTTTTTCTTTACAGAGCATTTTATTATGCGTACTTTTGATAGTTCATTCAAGTTATTGATTATTGTCTATAACCATGAATTTGAATCACTATCTAATATTCCATTTCATGGATGTATTATTTGTTTTCAACTGTTAGTAAACATTCAAATTGTTTCTAATTTTTCAGAATCATATAACTCATGATTATCCTTGTATATAGATTGTGTTATTCATATTTATACCCTTGGTTAAATTTTCAGAAGTGGAATCATTTGGTCAAAATGGGTGAATATTTTTAAGACTTGATGAATTTTGTCAAATTTACTTCATGAAAGGTTGTACCAATTGAAATTTTCATCAACAGTTTATAAGAAAGTCAGTTTCTCCCCATCCATAAACACTGGTATTATCATTCTTTTTGAAGTTTGTTAATTTGGTGCATTACAAAAAGGTCTCTTACTGCTTTAATTTTTGTGTCTTTGATCATTATTACAATGAGTTCTTTTTGAAGATGGCCATTTATTTTGGGGTGAGGGGTTATTACTAAAGCGAAATTTCCCAGTTAACGTTATTGGACCTCATTTGACCACAAGTGGCTGAAAGCGCCGAAGACCAAACTGGATAAGAAGGGCAACTGCATTTCACATATCTGCAGCTACCGATTTGTAGCTGTCCCCTGGCGTTTCCAGTATCTTCTTTGCATATGAACAGTGTTGTTATAATAGCAATATGCTCGTGAGGAAATAGTTCTCAGGTAGTGTTAAATTAAATTTTATTTAATTTATAAATAAAATTTATTAAATTAAATTTTATTTAATTTAAAAAGGTAAAGTGTCATAGGAATTCTTTTTGGAGAACCTCGTCTTATTGAGACATATTTGTTTGTGCTACAGGGTTTTTTATTCAGTACAGTTTATGTTCAATATTATTATGTATTAGTTTCAGGTATACAGCATAGTGGTTAGGCAGTCATGTACCTGACAAAGCGTTCCCCCCAATATTTCCAGTACCCACCTGGCACCATAAGTCGTAATTACAGTATTACTAATTTCCCTGTGCTGTAATTTACATCCCTGTGACTGTTTTGCTGCTACCAATTTGTACTTCTCAGTCCCTTCACCTAGTCCCCCAACCCCTCTCCACTCTGGCAACCATCACTCTGGTCTCTGCATCTGTGAGACTATTTTTGTTCTGTTTTTTCATTTATATTGTTCTTTACATTCCACATATAAATGAGGTAATATGGTATTTGTCTTTCTCTGACTGGCTTATTTCACTCAGCATAATACCCTCTAGGTCCATGCATGCTGTCATAAATGATAAGATTTCATTCTTTTTATGACCAAGTAATATTCCACTGTATATACATGTACCACAGCTTTTTAAGTCACTCACCTGTTGCTGGGTACTTGGGTTGCTTCCATGGCTTGGCTGTTTGTATATAACGAAACAAAAAGACAACCTACTGGATAGGAGAAGATATTTTCCAATGATACATCCAATTAGGGGGTTAATGTCCAAAATTTATAAAGAGCTCATATAACTCAATACCAAAAAGTGATGTTTTTATCCAATTAAAAGATGGGCAGAGGACCTGAATAGACAGTTCTCCAAAGAGGACATACAGATATGGTCAGTAGACATGAAAAGACACTCCATGTCACTAAACAGCATAGAAATGCAAATTAAAACCACAATAAAATATCACCTCTCACCTGTCAGAATGGCTCTCATTAATAAATCAACAGACAAGTGTCGATGAGGCTGTGTAGAAAAGGGAACCCTCGTGCACTGTTGGTGGGACTGCAGCCTGGTGCAGCCACTGTGGAGAACAGGATGACATTTCCTCAAAAAATTAAAAATGGAACTGCCTATGACCCAGCAATTCCACTGCTGGGAATATATCCGAAAAAACTCAAAACACTATTTGAAAGAATATATGCATCCCTATGTTCATAGCAGCTTTATTTATAATAGCCAAGATATGGAAGCAACCCAGTTGCTATTGTTTTTAACAACAACATTTCACTTCAGTAAACAACACAACTGTTCATAGTAATCTGTTCTTTTCTGCCGTGAAACATGATTACCATTTAGGAATGGCTTTCCCATTTTTATGATTTTACAATTTAATTTTTCCCTCCCAATCTTTTAGAACAAAGGAAGATTACTTTTCATTCTCCTGATGCGTCATCTGGAATAAATGCAAATGGAATTAGTAATCCATGTATCAGAAGTCCTTATATAGATGGCTGCTCACCTATTAAAAATTGGTCTCCTATGAGACTTGAGATGTATAGAGGTGGTACTCAGTATCAGACCTCACTGATTCGAATACCTTTTACCCTTGAGGCTCACAGTGAAGATGAAGAAAACAAAGCGAATATTCCTTCCACAGACACCTCATCACCTGCCATGGACACTGCTGGAGCCCACCTGCGGCAGGTGGACAGTGCCACCTCTCCACATGGCACACGTTTAGTAGTGACCTCCCTGTCTGTTACACAGAATCAGTCCAGTGCTTCTGCGGAAGTCCTGGCACTGCTGCAGGACGTTGAAAGTGAGAAGGAGAACAACACTGTGGATATGGTTGACCCTGTAGAGATAGCAGATGAGAACACTTGGATTAAGGAGCCGGTGGATAATGGGAGTTTACCCATGGCTGATTCTGTGAGTGGGATCGCCTTCAGTATTGAAAACTCTCATATGTGTATGTCACCTCTTGCCGAAAGCAGTGTCATTCCTTGTGAAAGCAGTAACGCTCAGGTAAAGTATGTTAATACTCTGTAGTCCTCTACTTGCTTTCTTGGTTCACTAGTCTTTCTCTTCTATGATTATGGTAAGAAAGGAAATGCATTAAATGTGAGGATTTTAGCATTATATAAATTTTTTTAAAAATATCAACACTAGGTTGATATCAAGAGGGTTATTTTCTTGTGACTTGGATTTGTGATGCGTGTTTAATATTCATAATAACTGATATTTGTTTGGAGTAGGAAAAGATGAGAGCAGAAAGAATCAAGCAGCTCTGTTTTTACAGACTTCGGAGTCAGACGCCTTCTCAGGATTCCTCTCTCTTTCACGTGGAGCTAGTGCCAGAGGAATTCAGTTTCTTACACAGCATTTGTATTCTGAAAATACAGTAGTTTTGGGTTTTCCTTTTTATTTAGGGAGAAAAAGAACTGAGCTTAGAGCACTTCTGTGAGGGTTTTTTTTGTGCTTTTCTGTTTTAAAATATGTTTTCATAACCAGCAGTTCCAATTTTGCTATGTCTATCAATGGGAAAGCATGATTCATTTGACAGGTGGACCTCACAGCCAGCACTTACTTTCAGAAAGACATTTGTTCCATTAATTGCCATATTCTTTGAACTGAGAATTTTGAAAGAACTTTAAAATATCAGAACAGCAGTTCTTACCTGCCATTTCGTAGTAACAATAACATTTAGGTAGTTCTTACTATATATGCCTGCTGTAGTTCTGAGCACTTTGTGTGTGTCAGTTTGTCTAATCTTCCCAACAGTCCTGTGAAGTAGCTGTTCTGTTATTATCCCCCTTTTACAGATGAAGAAACTGAGGGTCAGACAGGTTAAGTAAATTGCCTCTTTAGCTAGTGAGTAGTAGAGCCAAGACTTGAATTCTGGCAGTCTGGCTTTAGAGTCCTTGCTCTTTCGCCCAAGTTTGTACTGACTCGTGACACACCTAACACGTGCCCTGTGTTCCAGCGTGCCGGGCACTCTTCGTTCCTTTTTCACACCCGCCCCCTGCTGCTCTGGTGCTGTCCACTTGGGCCTGCTAATGTGTGAAATGCATGACAGAGCGTTTCTAAGAGACCCCAAATTACCGTCTTTTGCTCATATTTTCACACCTGAATTGTATATCCTGACTTCTAGAATCGTTGCTCAAAAAACAAAAATCCACTAGACTCATTTTTACCAATTTAGCTTCTAAATTTGTTTCCTAAATGTGAAAGCATATACAGTCAAACTTGGCTTTCAAGGTATTGTGAACTCCTTTTTCTCACTATATTTATAGCTTTTCATAGCATTTATAGAAGAATTATAGAATACTTTATTGAAATACACCTTAGTCACCCTCCCCATTGGAAGCCTGTATCACTACTGAATTGCCATCTACTGTGTCTGGACCTGAGTACCTGCAGGGGTATTTCAGTCCCTTTTGGGACTTTTCATACCATTCACGATAAGTCTTTTCCTTGTATTGAGCTAAAATGTGGTTCACTTTTACCCTTTGGGCCATATGATAATAGTGCCTACTTTTTGCAGATCATTTTGTAATAGTTTAAAAACACTTTCTTACGTTCTTATTTTCCTGCTACAGAGGTAGCTTGCAAATTCGAAGACAGCCATATTTTCCCAGGACCTCTGGACTTGCTTTATGATGATGGGTGGACATCCATGTGTTGTACACACTATCATCCAGGAATCCCTTCACCGTACTAGGAATTCCCTTTACCTCTCCTGTGGTCTATACTGTTTTCTGTATCCCACTCCTCTCTTTCCTGGTTAATTTCTCACTTTACTGGAACACAGTTTTTGGTAGCTGCCCAAGGAAGAGTACATTTTTCAAGATACTGCATGTCTGATCATGAATTCTTTATTCTGTCACATTTGAGATTTGGGAAATAATTGTCCTTTAGACTTTGAAGGCATAGCTTCATTGATTCTGTTCAGTATTGCTGGTGAGAGATCTGAAACCAATGTGACACTTAATCTTTTATGTATGATCTTCTCTTACCCCCTCCTCTGGAGCGTAGGATCTTTTGTCTGCAGTGTTCTGAAATTTCAGTGATTCTTTGGTGTGGGTTTCTTATTTGTCCTGGGTACTCAGAGGGCCCTTCTGATCAGTAGACTCATACCCTTCACTTCTTGGCCCTTTTCTTGAATAATATCAGATTTCTCCTATTATTGTCACTGTTTTCTCTGGAACTCCTGTTGATTGTCCAGTTTTGGGAATTTTTTTTACTATTTATCTCCTTTCCTCAGTTTTATATAATAACCCTTCTGGATTTGGGGTTTTTTTTGTTTGTTTGTGTTAGTAGTAACTTAAAAATGTATAGCATGGCTGGCAAAGGTTGCGTGGTCGGCCTTCTCCTTACTTTCCAGCCTCCTTTTGTTCCCTCCAGTCTCTTTGTTGCAGTCACACGGCTTTCCAGAGTTGTGACTAACCACGTTCCCTCTTGTCAAAGAACCTTTGCACACAGTGTGGAATTTCTCCTCACTTTACCTGCTTAAACCCTACTTATTTTTTAGTTCACACATTAATGGTCATATCATCAAAGGAGCCTTCCCTGGTCACACTAGCCAAGCCAGGCTCATGATTATGTGCTTTCCTGATTCCATGGACATTTTGCATTCTTGCCAGTCAGACTGCTAATCCAGCGATCATGTGTTTTTGTTTATCCCACAAGTTATTTTAAAAAAAAAAAAGTTGGTATGTAATAGTTACTCATTAAATATTTGTGGAATGAAAGGCGAATGAATGCATAGATAAGTTCAGCCAGAACGACCTTCGCAGTGGGAACGGTGGGCCAGGGTTTGGAATCCTGAGAAGCAGCTGAGCGGTAAAGGCAGCAGAGTCTCTGAAAGGGAGCGAGGACCGGCCAGAGGGCAGAGGGCCCTCTGGGAAAGCAAAGTGTCGTGGGATGTTTTAAGAAGGAAAGAACACTTAGTAGACACACACCTTGATTTATTGTTCTTCATGGATATTGCATTTTTTTACAAATTGAAGGCAAGACCCTCCATCAGCAGAAAGATGGCAACTTGCTTTGCTGCGATGCTCACTTTTTTGCAGTGGTCTGGAAGCAAACCTGCAATATCTTTGATGTATACTTGTACCCTCAAAATAAAAGCAAGGGTTATAGGGCTTGAAAAGTGGCTGTTGGATTAATAACAAGAAATTGGTGAGTGAGCAGCCTCAAGGTGGGAAGGTAAAAGGTAAATGGAAAGAAGGTAAAGTAATGAAAACACATATGTAGATAACTCTTGGAAGACCTTAGATTTAGGACAGTTAGTGGAGAACGTTAAAGTCCAAGATCTTTTGTGTTTCTTTTTTTTTTTTTTACTTTGTTTTTACTTTAGACAGGAGAAACTAGCCTATTTAAGTAAGAATGGGATGAGAGTTAAAAGAACAAAGAAAACTAGGAACTGCAGGATGATTATTTGTAATAGGTACCAGTTATGTATCTTTTCAAGTACCAGACACCAGACCACACATTTTTGGGTCAGAATCTAACCCTCAGGATAACTTACAGTGGATGCAGTAGATGTCATCTGTGGAACAGTGATTCATTTTATACGTGAGGGAGCTCAAGTATGCAGGATGGGATGGAATCTGGGGCTCTGCTGGGAGGATTAGCAGAGGTAGCCCTTCCACTTCTGTAAAAGAGGGCAGAGAGCAGAGACGGGCATGAGCACAAGGACTTGTAGCTGGGGTGGGGGTGGAGAGCTGGCATGGCTTTAAAGAACCTGGGGGATGTGGGCTTGGGGAGATGCAAACTGAAGATTTTGGTTTCTTTCCCAGCTGTTTTATAAATTTAAGTAACTTCTTCGAGCTTGTTTCCTCTTCTTTAGAAAGTGGGGATGATAATTGGACTATAGGATACCATGGCCGTTGTGATTAGAGTTAATGTGAGCAAACTAACAGCGCTGGTTTTCAGTCAGTGGTGGGAGACCGAGTCCTGTCTGAAAAGTAGCGAGCAAGGCGGGCAGACGTGAGGCCGAGAGCCATGAGGGGAGGGCTACAGTGCTGAAGCCAGGCTTCAAGGACACGTGGTAAGCCACTGTTGTCAGCTGCGAACCTGGAAGGCTTTTAAAGAGCCACATCTGATTTATGTGAGAGAAAATAAATTTAGTGACATTGTGTAAGATGACTGGCAGTAGAGACAGCATTGAAAGGCGAACTGTAAGAATAAAAATGTTGGAATCAGAACTAAATTTGAATTAAAGTTAGTTATGGGCTGTGGGGTCTTAAGGCAGGTTCCTCTTGACAGTGAATGGAACATGACTTTTCAATTTTTTTGAGCATCTCTCAGCTTTCACGTGGTACTGATGCCTGCCTCTTTGCCTGTGGGGAGTAAGGACATGATCTGTGTTGTCTGGTTGGTACATAGAAGGCATCGACACTAGTCGTAGTCTAGGGGAGAGCCAGCAGTCAGCCACCATCTTACGGGCTGCCCGTCGATCCTTTTCTTCCGCCAGAGGGGGAGAACGACTCTTACGTGCCTGACTTACTCTCTACTGTACTGTTAACTTTTCCCTTGATATAGTCAGTTAAGTATTTAGTTTTGAGTTATGTAAGCTGGTTGTTTGGCCCTGGTGAATAATAAAAGGAAGAGTAATTGGCAGATTCTCTGGAGGCAATCTGATAATTACATTTTTGACCAGAGAGCTGCTGAATGTTTGCAGCACAGGGTGTTTCCCCTGGGATGTAATAAAAGATTCTTCCATTACACGTCACAAGGGTCTTGTTCAAATGAACATGACTCCGTAGTGAACACATACACATCCATTCCTGAGAACTGGAAACATCTTCCTTAAGATGGTAGAATGACAGAATGCACTCTCTAGGCTAGTCTGATATGTGTGACGGTGGCACAGGTAAACACCTTTTCCTTCCCTCTGCCCGATTTGCAGAAAAGGACTTAATCCACATAGGGTTTGCGTTAGGTGCTCAGCACTGCACAGGTAGATGCAGTGTGTGTAGTGGACGGGGACTTGGGAGCCTCGGTCTTTGCTATCTCATTCTGCCTGGCATTGTGAAAGTTAACCTTTCTGAGCATTAGCATCCTCACCTGTGAAGTTAGTAGGGCTGGAGTAAGGAGAAAATAAGAATAGTATGATCTTGAGTGCCATATAGGGACCTGCCACTTTCTTAGGCTCTCAATAAATATATGGGGGGGGGACATCCCCCAAAATGAAATTTATAAAAAATTGTGTATTTATTCTCACATGTTTAAACTTCAGTCACCTTCAAAGTACTCTCCCTTTGACGCAGTACACCTATCCAGACTTTTTTTTCAACTGCTCAAAACAGTTTTTGAACTCGTCAGTTTTGATGCCTTACAGTGCTTCTGTCATTTTTTTGTTTTACCTCTTCTTCATCAGCAAAACCTTTCCCTTTGAGGACTTTTTTTCATCCAGGGAAACAAAAAGTTGCTCAGGGTGAGATCAGGTGAATAGGGAGGGTAGGGTATGGCAAGTCATGTCATTTTGGGTCAAAAACTAGTGAGTACCCAGTGTGGTGTGGACAGGTGCACTTGTAAGTCACCCATCATGAAATAGGCAAATGTGTTGAATCTTCAAAACAAATTCACTGAAGGCGGACACAGCCTCTCACAACAATGCCAGCTAGTACACTGATACAGATGGGTTCCTAGAAAAATCACCTAGCAGGGAAGCCTGTACTACAAAGGTGTCCACCCTCCAGAAGATATTCTGGGGGGGGGGGTCCCCCCCTATGTACAAAAACCGAAGTTTGCTACAATCCCATTTTTTTTCTTTTGCTCTATTGGGTATAATGATGTATGTATACTGGAATGCTACAATTTCAATGAAATGAAAATTTGAACAGAGAAAGGAGGGAAGAAAGAGAAGAGGAAGGAGAAGGGAAGAGAAACATCAGTTTGTTTCCCTTATTTATGTATTCATTAGTTGATTCTTGTGGGTGCCCTAACTAGGGATCAAACCTGCAACCTTAGCATGTTGGAACAACGCTCTAACCATCTGAGCTCTCCAGCCAGGGCTGAAGAACCTGTTCTATGGAGAATTACCTTTTATGCTTATATATTACTTTTAAATTTCATTCAATATGATCAATACTAAATATTACATTAGTTTTCAGTTGTGAATGATAGTATAGCAATTCACTTAAATTTTATAATCTTATATGAATCATATTTTGAGCACATAAAAAATATTTTATAAATATTGTTAATTTACTTATTTAAACATTAAAGCTCCTCAAAATAAATTTTGTGGATGAGTTTACTAGTTTGCAATGTTATCCTTAGTGTGTTTCCCCTCTTCCTCATCCCTGTCAGATGGATAGTGGCTACAACACACAGACTTGTGGAAGCAATATTATGGATACGGTTGGAGCAGAAAGTTACTGCAAAGAAAGTGATGCACAAGCCTTGGAAGTTGAGACCAAACCTCAGGTTTTTAATACAAAGGTATGGAAACAACAGAAAGCCTGATGTGGTTGTAGGTTGTAAGTGTTCACTAAATGTGACTTTTTTGTTTTGTTCCCTCCATTTTGCTTGAAATTTTTGTTAACTATTGTATTTATACCTCATTCTTCAGGTCATTTAAGAGCAGAAGGTGATTTTTACATAGAAACACTGCGTTTTCCTAACTCTTCTGCTATGACAGTAAAAGAGGTCGGAGAGGGAGTTAGTCCTGCTTTGGAACTGGTACTTGAAGTCGGTTCCCTAAAACTAAAAGCAAGTGGGATATGGGGGGTGCCAAAGAGAAGGAGAGTCAGAGGTTTTTTGCCCCTAATATTGTTTCAAAGCTAAACAAAGAATTTTGATTAACACATCAAATTAAGAACACTAAAGTAAGGGATCTTAAAATCCAAAAGCATTTATACATTTTTAGATACTGAATGAGAATATGTACCTTATATAATAGTTATACCTTGTACAAAAATATATTGTTAATGACATTTACTGAACCTTCTAGGTAGGATGGTTATAACTGTATATTCACCTTTGAAGAACCCATCAAAATTTTAGGCACTAACAGAATCTTTTTTAAATAACTTTTTAAGATTTTATTTTTAGGGAGAGGGGAAGGGAGGCAGAGAGGGAGGAAAAACATCAATCAGTTGCCTCTCACACACCCCCACCTGGAGACCTGGCCTGCAACCCAGGCATGTGCTCTGACCAGGAATGGAACCAGCGACTTTTTGCTTTATGGGATGATGCTCAAGCAACTGAGCTATGCCAGTCAGGGCAAGGGAATCTTTAATTTTTTGTATGCCACTTTATAATGAACACAGTAACAATCAGCAAATGTGCTGCTGAACATAACTCTCCAAAGGAGAGTAAGATTTAATACAGAGCCCACCTTATTTTCTTTCCCTTTCCCCCTTTTGTCATGAGATGGGGCCATAGCTGTCCATTTAAAAGATACAGGAAGCACATTTTTTTTAAGATTTTATTTATTTATTTTTAGAGAGGGGAGGGAGAGGGAGAGAGAAACATCAATGTGCGGTTGCTGGGGGTTATGGCCTGCAACCCAGGAATGTACCCTGGCTGGGAATCGAACCTGGCACACTTTGGTTCCCAGCCCGTGCTCAAACCACTGAGCTACGCCAGCCAGGGCTATAGGAAGCACATTTTGATACTAAATATTGATCGGTAAAAACCCCTATCCTCACTGTCTCTTTAGAATTTGCAATCAGGTTTTTAAAAGTTCTTATGGTTGCTTCCTCAAATTGTCCTGTTTAAACTGAACACCAGGTATTCTCTTCACAGCTAAACCACACGGCCCAGAGGTGCTGGCTGAAAGCAGCAAACACGCAGTGCAGCAGTCCACAGAATTCCTCTCTCGGCACCAAAGACTGCTGCTGACCAGCTTCTCGCATGTTTTTTTATGCACAGGATCAATGATGTGACCATGATTGGGGAGACACTGCTTCAACTATAACATGCTTCGCTTTTCTTTCCCTCCTGAATGTGAAAAATCAAGGCTTTAATTTAGTGACACAGGGACAACAGAAAAGCACCAGGAACTTTCAACAAGTTGCTGACGTACCAGTTTATTTTTTGTCAATAAATATTTTTGTACTCACCTTGAGTGATGTTTTACAATAAAAGACTTGAGCGAGGACTTGGCGCCCATCCTTACAGGGTCGGTGAACTGCTTATTGGCCCTACACAGAGCACTGCGTGTAGCAGTTCTGAGAATGTGTGGAACTGTGAAAGTGCTGTTTTATTTTATGGAAAAATATGTGAATCTACAGATGAATTTAAATTTATAAATGCTGTGAAAGAAATCTGATTTAGATATAAAACAAATTTAGGAGGTTAGGCAGGTTTCCAAAATTTTTCATTCTTAGACTCTGTATTTCCATGTAGAAATCTTAGTTCCAGTGGTAACTGGCCTGGTGACTACTTTAAAAACTGTAAATACTAGAAAAGGTTGTAGTAAAAACACCTTTATATTATGTATTGTTTTTATTAGTGCGGTAGATGCGGGATGCCCAGGGTGTATCTCCATCCCTGGGATAAATACACCCTTCCCAGCTCAAACCTGGCTGGGGCGAGGAGTGAGAACATGGCAGCACCAGGTCAGACAGCAGGGACTGGGTGACACCGGGGCTCCCGTGGGGCCTTAGACCTGTGAGGGAACGGCTGGGCACAACTTACATTCATGTTGAGAGTAGACTGGGAATTTCAGTTTTGGGGGGGTATTTACCTTTGGAAAATGTAGTCCTATTTACAAATCACTTTTTTAAAACTGATTCATAAAGGAGTAATAATTCATATGCAGCCCTAGGAAATAAAGGCATCCTGTCATTGTGTCATTTTCATCATTTTTTTGTACCTCATAAGCTTATTGCTAATGTCTAAAAAATGTTTCTTACTGTGTAGTTGGCTCCTCCTCTCCCCCAGCAAAATAACTTAAAATTATTAGCCACTAGGTCCACTGCTAAAGATTCTGCATCAGGAAGTTGAATCCTTAAGCACACAGCCTTTAGAATCGATACAAGTTAAGACTATTGCTACACATAACAGTCCTAGGCTCCAGGGGTAGGAGCTCCCCTGGCTGTGTGTGTGTACATGCGTGTGTTTGATAGCACAAGTAGAAACAAACTACTGACTATAACTTGGGAGTCTGACACCACCTGTCACTGAACTACTTGATCTGGGCCATGAAAGCCTCAAATTTTCTCATCTGTTAAATGGGGAAAAGAGCCCTACCCAACAGAGCTCTTTAAGTGAAATATTTCATGAAAAACTACTCAGTAGGAACTAATGCCTGAATTAGACCTGCCTCATTAATAAGGCACAGGAAAAAAAAAATTGGAAAGATAAAGTCAGTTAAAGCCTCCTTGTTTTACCAAGAAGCCTCCCTTTTTCCTCTACTGCAGGTAAACTGTGCTCCATGGGCCAAGAATTTTTCAATTGTCTGGGGAGGGGAAAATAAAGTGGGTAATATTTTACGGCACGTGAATATTGTGAAATAGCCACGCTCACTTGTTTCCGTGCAGTCTATGGCCGCGTCCGCCCTGTCGGTGCAAGTTGAGCACTGAGGCTGGAGCAGACCGACTGCCCTGCCGCAGAGCCTCACACGTCTGGCCCTGCACAAAAAGGCTTGTTGACTCCTGCTCTTGTCTTAGTTCATTACTTGGACCCAAGATGACTCAAAGCTATCTTTCCATCAACTGAAACAATTTCTTCCTCAGTGTGTGGATGTTTTCCTCAGTAACAGGAAACAGGAACATCATTCACAATTACCCAGTGCCTGAAGCGCACACTGTAACCGTTCCCACTAGCACACCCTGCCGTCTGCCACTCTTCACTGTGCCGCAAACTCCTTCCCGGCAAAGGGAAGTTCCCAGGCAGTCTACCTGCCTGGTGATAAGCCTGGTACACTGTAGGCACTTTATAGAGATTGAATAAGTAAAATGTTTTAAGGTAACTATCTCAAAATATTTTGGAAAACAGAAATTTAATCATTACTAATTGTGTGGGTTAACAAGGGAAGAGACTTCAATGTGCTCCCTTTAATGTGTACTTACACCATCCACCCTTTCCTACATAATCTGATACATAAAAAGTTTAAGCCATCCATTAACTGCTTTTTGTTTTTTAAGTAACATTTGATGTGACATTTAAAGTACTATCCATTCTTTCTTTGAATCCTAATGCCCTACTTCAAAGGAGATATTTGAGGTGAAGGTCAAGGATGATGATCACACTTATTACCTGCTATAAAACAACTATTTTTTTCAGTCAGATCAAAATATTCTACACCTTGCCTTCCTATGACATTCAATTCCCAAACCCTCGACAGCTGTTCAAGGATCATTAAAAAACTGCAGGAGGCTTTCTAACAGAAAGAGAGCACATATGGAAGCTAGATAAATTAAAAATAGCAATGATTACTAAATTTCCCGACAGATCTTAATTGTCTTAAAATCTACAAACTGCCACACCAAACAGCTTTCAAGATTTAGAAATGACAGATTGTTCCTTCTAAAAATGTTCTGTTTTTCTCCATAGGAAAACAGTAGTTTTTCTACCAATATTAAATAATCAAATTACTTAAGTTAATCTGCTCTTCAATGAGCAAATGAATGCCCTCTTTAAATGATCTACACAGATCCCTGAATTTGCCAGCCTGTCACTACTTAAGTGATGGATATTCAATTGAATTTGTCTGCATAAACAGTTCTGTTCAATCCAGAAGTCAAGTAGTATGATGGGACAGACACCGTCAACAATTCAATTAATATGCAAATCTTTAAGCACAGAGTTCCAAACAAGACGGATGCAGAGAGGCCACTCCAAGACACATCATAATTAAAATGCCAAAGGTTAAAGATTAAGAGAATCTTAAAAGCCCCCAAAGAAAAGAAGTTAGTTACCTATAGGGAAATTCCTAAAAGACTGTCAGATGACTTCTCAAAAGAAACTGCAGGCTAGAAGGGATTGGCAAGAAATAAAGTCATGAAAAGCAGGGACCTATAGCCAAGAATGCTCTACACACGCGACAAAGATAATTAGAATTGAAGGGCAGATAAAGAGCTTCCCAGAGAAGAAAAAACTAAAGGACTTCATTATCACCAAACCATTATATAAAATGTTAAAGGGACTCATTTAAGAAAAAGATCACAACTATGTACAACAGAATGGCAAAAAATATAAATCTATCAACAACTGAATCTAAAAAGCAAAGAACAGAGATAGAACCATGGATCCAGAGAGTGTTTTGAAGGTTACCTGATAGGAGGAGGGTGGGGGAGATGGGTGAAGAGGTGAGGGGATTAAGAAGTACAAGCAGGTAGTCACAGAATAGCCATGGGGATGTAAAGTACAGTGTAGGAAATGGGGTAGCCAAAGAACTTATACACATGACCCATGTACATGAATATTGTTGGGGGGAATGCCTGAGGGAATGGGGGGTGCTGGGTGGAAGGGGGCAAAAAGGGGAAAAGTTGAGACAACTGTAATAGCAAAATCCATAAAATATAATAAGTTTTTAAAAATGCAATTTTTCAAATTATCAAAATGCACTTGATAAAGTAATAAATTTTCACACACTTCTTAGGTTTAAAAATGTCTTCTCAAGCTTTCTTTCTTTTAAGGACACCAATCCTTTAAGGTTTTTTATTGATTGTAGCTATTTTTCAAACTTCTTCTTCTTTTTCTCTGGTTCATTAATGTCCGTGTTTGAAGTATCACTAGGAACACTTATACCTGGTATCTAAAGTAATGCAAATGGAAAAAAAATTAGGTGACTTAAAGTATGAAATAAAGAATAAATGTCATTCTCACCTCCCCCTTCCCCACTGACACTTTCAATTTGAAAAAGATGTAGCAGTAGAGGGGGAAAATGGGGTTAGAACAGGTTTTCCACACAACGTATTTCACACGCAAAGTAACTGGTTCAGAAATGTCAGACAAGATCTCAGCAGGTAGGAAACAGGTCACTTGGGAAGTGTGTTTAACATGTCCTTGTGCCCCAGCGGAGCCACTGTGCCTATCAGCATCAGAGGCCTCGGGCCAAACGAAGGCTAAGAACCAATGTCTTAGGTGAAACATTACCTTAATCTCCAAAAATGCAGCTTTCAAAACCAATAAAAGTGACAAAAGTCCAGGGGAGAGATTTCAAACAGCTATGCTTTTCATACTGATGGCCTCAGAAGACCCCAAGTAACTAGGATCCCGTCTACAGCCATACCCCCTGAACACGCCTGACTTCGTCTGAGTAACTAGGATCCTGTGGCCTAGAGAGATCAGTGAGAAAATAGGAACTGCTAGGCAAATATTTATCCTTCACACTACTGGATAAGATATCCACCATCATTAAGCAGAAATAACTTACGGCTACATCAGTCTTTCACAAACATATTCCATTACAACACAGACAGTGTAAGTTGGTCTTACCCATGGTTCCACCAGGGACATGCGAATTTTCTGATGCTGAAGATTAGATGAGTCCAACATGATTTTCACTTTAACTTTATCAAATATATGGAACACTGTGTCTTCTATTTTAAGTGAAGGTTTCTAAACAAAAGACATTTTACAATGTTTAATTACTTCATAATCTTGAGGATTTATTCTAATTCTTTACAGTTTACCATTCATATAAATTTAAAAGCTTAAACTTAAAAATCACTTGCATATTTAATAAGTACATCTAAATGTTCTATGTAACAAAAGTCACTAATCTAGTAGCCTCACATAAATATAAGCTACCATACTTCCTCCTTTCATTAAGATGGTCCCTAAATGTATTCATTACTGAGGATTCTCACCAGCAAATTGTTAGCCTAGAAGAGAAACCCAACACAAAGGTACTGCGGGCAGTTTACTGTCCCGTAGTTCCACGGAGGATAGGCAAGCAGGGAGTGTGCCAGATGAGAGATACTGGAAACAGGTTAGGAGATTCCTCTCCCTGAGCTCAGAGCAGTCACTTAAGTCTTCCTTTACTTTAATCCATCTCTCCACCTAGGGCAATGTGTTAAGTTTGCTTAGGGGGCAAAGCTTTACTTAGTATGAAAGAAATCAAAGTCAACATGTGATTGTGGGGAGACACACTGAGGTGAGAAACTGAGTATAACCATTAAACTAGTCGGCACAATTCAAGTCTGTGGAGTACAAAAAACCACTTCACCCTTTTTAAGTTTTTGTAACCTATCAAAGAAAGTGCACCCCTCTCCCATCAAAGGAAAACAAAAATAAAAACAGTGGAAATACTATACCTCATCATCATAAATAAGCCGTGGATTTGGTTTGTCCTTTTCTTCAAAAAAAACTGTACCTTCTAAACCATATTTTGGAATTAATACCACGATAGCATTTTTTTTCACAAAGAGAATATAGGCATCTTCACTTACTATTCCTTTGCTTTTGAAAAATAACTGTAAAATAACATACCTGATTAAGAATCATCTTAAATATTTTGAAATTAACAAATAAATTTTGAAATGAAATTTAAAAATGAACAAAACTTCGCTCTCTTCACATGATCAATAGAAGGCAAATACCTGGGTATGAAAAGCCACGGACGCACGCTGGGCATACTGAGCCATTTTGTGCCGGAAGTTGAGGTTCTTGCATATGTCCGCAAGCTTGTGTTTGTCTGTCAACTCTGGGTAAGTACAGTCGGCCCCGATAGCCACAGCCAGCAACCGGTGAACGATGATGTCTGCATATCTACTCACGGATAAGAACCATGCCACGTTAGTATTCAAGTGTCCTTCTAAAATTCAAAAGGAACCATTTTCTATTTCCTTTAAGTTCAAAAGGAAAAAGTACCTTCTGATGGGTGAAGTGAAATGTGTGTATATGGGGGACGCTAAGCCATAGTGATGAAAATCATTATCCATCCCAGAGCAGAAGTACACAGCTTGCATCATGCAGCGAGTGGCTAGGATTCTTAAGAGAGTGTTCAGATATGGGAACGTAGGAGAATCAGCCCGATCCAAAGAGTCAGCCAAAGACTTGGCTGTATCAGTTTTAATTTCCAAATTCTGTGAACAAAGAGGGAAAGAGCACTGTATTTTAAAATCAGTACCATCATGCATTCAAAATATAATGAATCAGACTAACCAGATAGTGCTTAATACCTTTTACTTTTCACCTAGGAGACTAAAGATGAATGTACAGAAAGCAGTAACTGCCCTGTGCAACACCAAAGCTCACCTTGTTTTAATGCATTTAAAGGTGCTGAAGTATCAACATTCTGAAGAAAAAATGGTGGGAGCAGCAGTGCTGTTTCTCAAAGCCCAGTTTGTGCCTGCCTAATCTTTGTTGGGGCAGGAAAAAAAATCAAAGCAGACCTGGACACTTGCCAGTATGTCTGGATTTTCTCTGCAGACATTTTCCTTCCATTCAAAGTGGAAGTAAAAGGCACAGACAAAATAAAATTGTATTCGTCAACACCGCTCCATCAAGTATGATACATCAAACTTGGCTGTTTAATTGTACTTTGGGAGATGAGGCAAACATATTTAAATCCTCCTCCTCCTCCTCCCAGATCTTAGGAAGAAATAAGACAAGAGAAAATCCCCCAATTTATGGCATAAGCCTCAGAGCAGAGGAGAAGCTGATTCTGTTCTGATGGATATGATAGCAGTAAGCCCACCAGAAAGGTCTGATAACTCAGAAACCAGTGCCATCCTAGAAGAACAATGTCCTGAGACTACAGCAACTCCTTCCTGCTCTATTCTGGACAGGAAAGATGGGACCTGAACAAGTGATGCACAGAAAACCAAGATAAGCCATAGTCGTCCCAAGGGTAAGGGTGTTTATACCTAAATGAAAATCTGCTAACCAGATGTAAGGGCTATATGGAGCTGAGGAAATGGTGCCCTTTCTGTATTTTTCACTTTTCATAGGTGTGCAATAAATGGACTTCCTTCTTGGGGACCTAATAGAAAGGAGGCTTAACTGAGTTAAAGAGAAAAAATTATTTGTAACTTTCTGAAGTTCAGCAGTTCAGAGGAGGCATGAAGCAACAGGCATAGAGAACATGTGTAAAGGCACGGAGATATGGAAGAGCTTATTATGTTCAGGATATTGCAAATACCTTACGTCTGTATAAATGTATAAAATGAATACATTGTACACTTTAAATCTCACAATGTTACATGTGAAAGATATTTCAATAATAAAAACTAAGAACTACTGGCATATTTTTGCATCAAGAAAATAAGAATTTTTTATGCAGATGTAATATAGATTATTTACCGGCCCAAGATGGAGGTATAGGTAGATACACCACACTTCCTCACACAACCAAAAGAAGGGTAACAGCCAATTTAGAAACAAAAAACAACCAGAACTGCCAGAAAATCATTCTGCATGGAAGTCCGACAACCAAGGTATTAAAGGAGAAACATTCATCCACAGTGGTGTGCTGAGATAAAGAAATATTCCCCAAATGAAAGAACAGATTAAAACTCCAGAAAAAGAACTAAGTGATGAGGAGATAGACAACCTACCAAATGCATGGAGAGTTCAAAACACTGGTAATTAGGATGCTCACAGAAATGACTGAGTACAGCTGCAAAATAAAGGAAGAAATGAAGGCTATACAAAGTGAAATAAAGGAAAATATACAGGGAACTGACAGTAAAGGGAAGCAAACTGGGACTCAAATCAACAATTTGGAATAAAAGAAACATCCAACTGGAACAGAATGAAGAAAAGAGAATTCAAAAAAACGAGAGGCTGAGGGACCTCTGGGACAACTTTAAATGTTCCAACACCCAAATCATAAGGAGAAGAGGAAGAGCAAGAAATTGAAAACTTACTTGTACTGATAATGAAGAAAAACTTTCCCAGTCTGGCAAAGGAATAGACATGCAAATCCAAGATTCTCAGAGAGTCCCAAAGAAATTGGATCCAAGAAGAAACACACCAAGACACATCATTAATTAAATTACCCAAGATTAAAGATAAAGAGAGAATCCTAAAAGCATCAAGAGAAAAAGAGTTACCTACAAAGGAGTTCTCATAAGACTACAGGCTTATTTCTCAAAAGAAACCTTACAGGCAAGAAGGGGCTGGAAAGAAGTATTCAAAGTCATAAAAGGCAAGGACCTACATCCAAGATTGCTCTATCCAGCAAAGCTATCATTTAAAATAGAAGGGCAGATAAAATGTTTCCCAGATAAGGTAAAGTAAAAGAAGTTCATCATCACCAAGCCCTTATTATATGAAATGTTAAAGAGACTTATCTAAGAACAAGAAGATCAAAAACTATGAACAGTAAAATGACAACAAACTCACAACTATCAACAACTGAACATAAAAAAAAACACAACTAAACAACTAGAACAGGAACAGAATCACAGACATGGAGATCACATGGAGGGTTGTCAGT